GGTGTCCGACTCGGCGCCAGGCGCCGCCTCCCTCTCCGGCAGCCCGTGGCGCAAGTAGCGCGAGTCCAGACCGCCGGCCGACCCCTCCTCCTCATCGTCCCCCGCGCCACGCTCCCGGCCGTCCTCCTCTGCCGGATCCTCGTCCTCGCCGCTCTCGTACGACCCGTACTCTGCAATGACCCGGGCGTCGCTGAGGACGGCGGACAGCAGCCTTCCGCTGCGGAAGTGACTGCAAACGCGCATCCCCACCACAGGCGGATGTGATGGGCACTGCTAACCAGGGGGCTGCCGATAGAGGCTGGTTTCTCGCAGTTCAAATCCGGACGATGCATAACCGCGCTCCACCGTCCACGGCATCACTCCACCCGCAGCGCGCAGGCCCAGCTTCAAAGACGTGCAACGTTACTTTTGACTCCCGCATAGTTTTGACAACCGCCACGTGTGTCAAAATTATGCACCCACGGCAGTATACATGAAACAGTAAAGAAATATTTTACTGGCGTAATAGGCAAGCAATTCTCGACCGTTGTTAATGCTTAAAATACGCTGATTACTTACTCTAGAAATAGGTGATGATTGGCTGTCACTGGTTTGCAAAATTGCTGGCTAATAAGCCATCAGGAAGTGAGACACTGCATGCAGGAGTCCCAGCACCCCACAAGCTCAGTACAGTCCCAGACCCACATACACTGACGTAAACATGTGCTGTACGCTGGTTACTCCGTCACGACAACGTACACACTACTGTACACTACGCTACGCACACGCACACCACACACCACTGTACTCTTGCAATGATATGCCGACTGTAACCCGACTGTAAGCCCACAGTTCCCACGGAAGAATACGATACGGACAATCGTGCACGCACCTGTGTTCTTGCTGTTTCCCTCGGTGAACGACACCTCCTTAATGTTGGCCATTGGAGGGTTTAATCTCATTTGTTTGACAGGCGAGAGTGGTACTCTCGCCGACGGACTTGAGTCATCTTCTAGGAAGCAGTCCGAAAAACCTGAGATGGGTCATGAACGCGATGTAGTCAACAACAAAGGGAACTAGGAACAGATGAGCGAGGAGATACGGAGGGAGAATGACTTCAATGCTTCGCTGCCGTGTCAACAGATTTATTTATACGTGGCAAACCGAGGCTTCAGCGCGGCCCGGACACCTTTACATAAGGTAAACCGCACAAAACCCACAGCGGGCCAACATATCTGCGGGACCATAGGCTTGGCGACGAACAGCCATGCGGGACTAGTGGCGGAGCTGGGTAACCATTCACTCAGACCCCAAACAGTCTGTGTGCAGAGGCCCGCAGGCTGCGGAGCGGCTGGAGACTGACCGGCGACAGAGTCCAGTCTGAGCAGACCCAGCGAAGACTGCTCGGACGCTGGAGACCGCCCGGACACCAGCGTACTGTCCCCTTTCGGGTCGACATTCTCCATGGCTCGCGCCTAGTCACCACGCTGAAAAGGAACAATATCACGCACACGCCGGCGCAATGTGTATGCATGCAAGCGGGTCAGTGACAAAATTCAGCTCAACAAAAAGTTTTCAAGTTTCCGTTGCAAAACACAGTTTTTCAACACCATGAAATTCCGCATCATCGAATCATCGGCCACAATGCCATTTTGTCCTGACGGCAACATGGATTACAGTCCCCCTGCCATGAAACGACCACTGCTCTGCATTAATCGGACATCGGCCCACGCTGCATTACAAATTTTGCAGAATGATTACTGCATAGTGAGCTCCTGACAAAATCGAGGACAGCAAACAAGTCAAGGAAATATGCCAAGCTTTACATGCCTTCAAGGGTTCAAATACAGTGAATCAAAAACACAAGAGAAAGCGAACCTGAAGGCATAGACAGACAAGATGTTCCAAAATGTAACTTCTAACAACAGTTGCCTGTTGACTGAAAATGTTCACTTCATCAAAATTAACATCTGTGAACTCTTTTCAAAAGCTAATAGCAGTTAAATTCAACCCATTGATCAGTTAAATTTCTCAAATGCTTCCCAGTTCCTCATTTTGACACCTGAGACCTATTCAAAAGGTGAGAATATCTGAATCTGTCATTTACTGTCCAATTTTTGTATTCACCTTCTATGCTCAGCTAAGCATGCACGATGCATTTTAGCCTGTATATCTACTCTGAAAGGGTGTAACCTGGCCCTCTGAAAGGGTGTAACCTGACCCTCTGAAAGGGTGTACTCTGAAAGGGTGTAAGAGTTGACGGTTCACTGCAATTTGGAATTCCAATGCCACAGTGGTCAGATTCTAATTTGAATTGAAATTCGAGATTTGAACATACGAATAGTTCTATGGAAGGATTCGACGAGGTATCAGCATCGCGGTAGAATGAATTGTTCGGACCTTGTCTGGTGTGTCACCATGTGCACAATGTCTCAGCCAGGTAATGCTCCGGCAGTCACCAGGTGTCATGGAGTCCTGGGAAGGACTGGATGATATCTAGTCCCAGCAAAGGTGAATGATACACTCAAATGAAATTTGCCTGAAGAAAGTTAGTATTTTTCAAAGTTGGTGGACATAAGCCTTATGCCATTAAACGCCAGCCCTGTGCAGTACCAGCATCAGCCTGGCCAAGTATCAGCCCTGCAGCAGTGCCAGTCAGCCTGGCCAAGTGCCAGCCCAGCAGCAGTGCCAGTCAGCCTGGCCAAGTGCCAGCCCAGCAGCAGTGCCAGTTAGCCTGGCCCAGTGCCAGCCCAGCAGTGGTGCCAGAGTCAGCTTGGCCCCATGCCAGCCCAGCAGCAGTACCAGTCAGCCTGGCCCAGTGCCAGCCCAGCAGCAGTGCCAGAGTCAGCCTTGCCCAGTGCCAGCCCAGCAGTGCTAGAGTGACCTTGGCCTGATGGCAGCCCAGCAGCAGTGCCCCCCCCCCCCCCCCTCCCCCACCTCATACAAAGTCACAGTATGGGCAAGTATGGAGGCTGCACAAGCTGATGCTGCTTCCCATGTGGTTTGTTATAAGGTTATATGATTTAAAATTACATGGGTTGTTCAGTGCAGTAGCAAGGAGCATTATTCACACAGATACAACTGTAGCATTAGCCTTGTTCCTCACAAAAAAAAAAACAGGAGAACAGATGTGGTTGGGTTGATATTTCAGCAACATGCTTTCATTGAAACAATATCAGACTTGTGTTATTGTTTTGATAAAGGCATGCTGCCAAAATATCAACCCAACTATCTCTCCATTCTCCTGGCTCTTCTCCAAGGAATAAGGCTAATACTACTGCCTTGTCTATGTTATGGGATTAATGTTACACACCAAAAGATGGCAGTCATTTCTTTACATAAGCAACCATCAAAACCAAATTTTTACAGCTCTTAAATATCTTTGAGATGAATTACACTGAAATACATACATTTCTCCATTTCCTTTAATAGACATATGAAGCCACATTATATCTTACACCATAGCATATGCAACCACACCTCAGTTAAGGTAGACAAAAATCAACATTCCAGGTGCTTGTCCAGGATTACAGGGGCTCAGAGGCATTTTGACTCAGTTTGTCTTACATGCCACCAAAGGCCTTGTGCTGAGTTTTCCTAAATGTTAGGGGGGGGGGGGGGCTGAAGCCCCAAAGCTCTTCCATGATAATCAAATAGTTCCTATGGCTATAGACAAAACTGAAACAGGCCATGGCTAAGTCATTGTTCAGACATCCATATTGGTCAAACTACTAAGCATCATATCATCATGTAGCAAAACAGTACCCTGCACAGCAGCAGGCATATCAAATGGCATCTGACAAGCGTGGACCCAAACACATCAACAATGTGTCATGAACTCATGGGTACTGACCATCTTCATTTAAATCCCAGGCCAAGGAGAGCTTTCCTTGCTTTCCTTCTGTAAGCACTCAAACAGTTGTAACCACCACAGTCTGCAAACCATGGCAAATCCTGATGATATCTCATTGGGGCAGAAGTTCAGCACATCTCCCAATTTGGGGAAGTTCATCAAAATTTTGTAGCACATCTTTTAAATGAACATTGAGACCATTTTGCATTATTCCAAAATGAAACTGGTAATATGATCAGAAATTACCAAATGTGATGATAAATCATGTCTCTGGAGTAAGAAACATTAACAAAATCAGCCCTGAATGGCAAAGTTTCCTATCCTATTTGGGGCAGGATCCTGCCTGTCCCAAATATCTTATTAGCATGTTTCCCATGGTTTGCAGACTGGACTGCTCTGGACACCATTCTAATATGCTGGACAGATAAGTACACCCTCAACCGCGCACCCGGACCCTCTGTCACAACCAGCCACGGCCCTTTCTCCGCCGGACCAGGTCGAAAGCTTTGAATCGTAGCCACAGAAACGAAAAGGGCGGGCACCAAGGATAAGCGGAACCGTGCCTGTGCGCCGCTATTTCACTGCATTAATCCGCTGCCATAATCTACTTCAACGATTGTTCACAGAAACACATGAGATGACCAAAATTGCAATGTAACTATGCGCAACAAGGTATACGATATATGACACTGCCGGCCAGCACATTACTAGAATAAATGGTAAATACTGAGAGGCCTATTTCATCCCGCTATCCACCATGTTCAGGCAACCTTACGGGGGTATTAGTTCTTTCTGTATTGCAACTAATCATGTTGATGGCGTCGTGACCTGAAGCCAATATTGGCTTCACTTATGGCCATCAAAGCCACACCTATAAGCCATCAAAATAAGTGTGGCTCACATTCAAGCCGGCCCGTACGCTTTAGAAATGTCACAACTTTCCGAATTTTGTGTGAATTTTGCAGAACACTTACTGTCATGATAAAATATATGGGTCATAAACCATGCTGTTAATGGTAGGAGCTATTGGCACTAAATTTAGCCCATTTAATAATTTGGAATCCAATTAAAATAAGCGTTTCACCATAACGACGTCATGGGCAGCGCTTTAAGGAGGCGGAGAACCCTTTGGCATTGCCGTCAATACAAGCAACCCTGGCCGCGGTCCTTCCTTGGAAAGCGGGGTGTTGTCATCGCGGGGTGCGGGTATGTCCTGAGGCTCAGGGGGTGTTTAGGGACCCGGTGTGTTTGAGCGACAGTGCGGGCATTTTAACAGATTGTGCCCTGATTTCTAGCTCTTTGGCAAAATCGGCAGTGTGACGGCAACTTGCTTGCGGCATTTGCGATTATATTTGATCTGCGTCGCATTAGCCGACAACAATGGCATCCGGGACAGCTTTACAGAAGGCTATAGACTTGGTTACCAAAGCCACAGAAGAGGACAGAAACAAAAATTTTGAGGAAGCCCGTAGGCTGTATGAGCATGGTGTAGAATATTTTTTGCACTCACTGAAATATGAGGCTCAGTCAGAGAAAGGCAAAGAAAGCATTCGGGCCAAATGCATCCAGTACATTGAGAGGGCCGAAAAGTTGAAGGAATATCTGAAAAAGAAGGAGGGAAAGTCAGAGAAGAAGCCTGTTAAAGATGGTGGCAAAAAGGAGGATTCTGACTCTGACTCAGATGAAGACCCAGACAAGAAGAAGATGCTTTCAAAGCTGGAAGGGGCTATTGTGATGGAGAAAAACTTGAATGTGAAGTGGGCAGATGTTGCTGGACTGGATGCAGCCAAGGAGTCTCTGAAGGAAGCTGTCATCATGCCCATCAAGTTCCCTCACCTATTCACCGGCAAGCGCAAGCCCTGGAAGGGTATCCTCCTGTTTGGCCCACCAGGCACTGGCAAGTCGTACCTAGCAAAGGCTGTGGCCACAGAAGCATCCAACTCAACATTTTTCTCTGTCTCATCCTCAGATCTTGTTTCAAAGTGGCTGGGTGAGTCTGAAAAGCTGGTCCGCAACCTGTTTGAGCTGGCCAGAGAGCACAAGCCATCCATCATATTCATAGATGAGATTGATTCACTGTGCTCATCTAGGTCAGACAATGAGTCCGAGTCAGCCAGGAGAATCAAGACTGAGTTCCTGGTCCAGATGCAGGGAGTTGGAAATGACACAGATGGCATCCTTGTGCTGGGAGCCACCAACATCCCTTGGGTTCTGGATGCAGCCATCCGCAGACGTTTTGAGAAGCGGATATACATCCCGCTGCCCGAGGAGCCTGCCAGATCCACGATCTTCAAGATCCATCTGGGAAACACTCCTCATCAACTGACTGAACAGGACTTCAGAATCCTTGGAGGCAAGACCGAAGGCTTCTCCGGCGCCGACATCAGCATTGTGGTGCGTGATGCCCTGATGCAGCCAGTGCGCAAGGTGCAGACTGCCACTCACTTCAAACGGGTGCGGGGTCCGTCCCGATCTGACCCGAACGTCTTTCTGGACGACCTGCTGACGCCCTGCTCTCCTGGCGATCCCGGAGCCATGGAGATGTCCTGGATGGATGTCGACGGTGAGAAACTGCTGGAGCCTGTCGTCAGCATGAACGACATGCTGAAGTCAATCGCCACCTCCAAGCCCACGGTGAATGACGAAGACCTGAAGAAGGTTGAGAAGTTCTGCGAAGACTTCGGAATGGAGGGTTGAACCCGGTCCTGGCGGGCTGTGGCCGCCTCAATCACCACTTGTCTGGAGGGTCGTAAGTTTATTTCACTGGGGCCTGTGTAACAACTGTCTCACTAGTGGCACTTGTATTTCGGCGACTTTGCATTCTGCGGCAATTAGAATGCATGTTGACGTTTTTGTCCTTCTGTCTCCTGAAAAATACGTCCAACTGAAACTCAAGTGAAAGGAGTATATTCAATTTGTGTTGCCGCAGGCTGGAAAGATGCAAAGACTTACTGATCTGAATGCTGTTGTTGTAAATACCTATCCGTTTTCATTAGTGTCTGTGAAGCATGTCGAAACATTTGGTTTTCAGACTTGCGATCGGGGGCAGCGCCACGATGCCGCTATCCTCGAAAAATGAATGATAGTATAGCCGTTTCCACGGTACAGATTGATTGCATTTGGTATAGGCCTTATGCATGCATACATAGTGGGGTTTAAGCCAGCTTAGTCTGTTAAGCAATGCTGGGCTGGTCCTGGAATCAATTTCTGGGAAGTTGTGCTTGTGCCGTGTGTCTAACCGTTATTGCATCAGAATCACTGCGATGTAGTTTTGCTGTCCTGCTTTGAACACGGCAATGGTTCTGAGAATGTGCCTGACCTAGCTGCTGAGGGATGGATCCAAATAAATTAAAGACTTATCTCTGAATGAGTTTTTTAATACCAGTTGACCCAAGGCGCAAGGGCAGGCGTAGCTATGGCACGCAGTGTTGGGAAGAAAACCCCAAGCATCACCGATGCTTCTGGAACATCTCTGATGCTATTGAAGGTGTGTATTCCATGTAATGGTGTGCCAGGAACGTGCAGTTTTGTGAATAATGCGGTGCACGCGGTGCCCCGCAGCGCCGTGTGGGGCGGCTCGGTCGCGTTGGCCACGCTATCACCCGGCCGAGAATTCCGAAGTCATCCCACCAGCCCGTCAGTGCGACGTTCTAACGGCGCATAACCGTGTGCTGAGCTGAAAACTCTTCCTTCGCTTTTTGAACATGTGCATTTGTTTGCAAATCATCGCGCACTCAACCCTTATCATAAACCGCTGTGCATTGTCTGCAGGCAAGCGGCGGCGCTATGACCAACCCTGCCTCGGGCGAAGGCAGGTCCCGTCCCTCTCCGGCTTTCGCTTTGTTCGCTGCAACGGTCTGCAGCAGGTCGCTGAAATATTTCCCCAACATTGTTTTTACATACCGGGTTGTAATGTAGGTGGGTGGCATGCGCAAGGATGGTTCCAGGGCCCCGCACCAAGAGGCGCATGCTGTGAATTTGGTGGTGGTGGTGGTGATCTGGTGTTTTAGGCTGCGTCGGCATCGGGTCCATTTTGCGTCCACAACCCGTGAATTTGGCGATCATGCCGGAATGCGATGACGTAGTTTCGCAAAATGAGTTGGAGGGGAGAGGGGGTGGGAGGGGCAGTGCCTGAACGGTGAAAAATGGGGAAATCTCCGCAAAACACGCCAAAGGGTGTCCTCCCGATTTGGTCCAATACCTTTTCAAAGTCGATGGGAGCTCAGGTGGAGGAGAGGGCTGAAGCCCTCCCCCCCAACTGAAAGAAAACCGCACCCTGCCTCGATGGTGATCTGTTCGGGTCATACACACTGCCCTGCGTTTATTAGTTACAGGGATAACTGATACTTGTGGTGAGTGCGACAGCTGAAAATTAGAACTGTGCAATGTAACAAATTGAGCATGGTGAGGCGGCTCCATAGATTGAAACATGTAGTTTCCAAACGGCGTAACGTGCATTTCAGGTTATCAATGCAGGTGTATAAGGGATGCTTCTCGGTGTCTAGATGCAGTGCCTCGCACTTCGCGACGATATTAACAGTTGTCACGCAAACACCCACCCACACCCACACGCCCGCACCCACACCCACACCCACACCCACACCCACCCATCCCCACACTTGCCCCCCCCCCCCCCACCCCCACCCACACGCACGCGCGCACGCACGCACGCACGCACGCACGCACGCACGCAAGCACGCACACACACACACACACACACACACACACACACACACACACACACACACACACACACACACACACACACGCACGCACTATATGCACGTTCGATCAAAAATGACTGCTGACTCAGCATTGATGGGGTTTATGTACATTATTCTAGGTGCCGGACTTTTGAGATCGAATTGTCGTTTAGATTAAAGATGGTTGGGACGAAATCACTCACACATTCGTCACACTTTACATTCTTACGTTTCGAGATCTTATCTCATCGTCGGAGAAGACTGAATGGCACAAAACATAAGTTCTGAGTTTGAAAGGATACAAATTGGGCACCGCTATTGGCAAACATCCTTTGGTACTGAGAACACAGATGAGGCATGACTAAATAAAATAAGACAGAATTCTATTTTCACTTTGATACATATAAGAAACACTCATGATGGGAATATTACAAAGACACACGCATATTGCCACAATCACATCGATAACACCCACCACACACCACCTAATAATTCAAGGGTTGTACAAATTTTCTCTTTGTTTAAGGCGGGAGCTTTGTCAATGAATATACGTTCTCAACTTTGAAGGTGTCTTCCGTCATTGCATGTCCGTAAAATATTAGTTGTTGTGTCCATATCCTGACGCGTTCATGTCGCATGTGGTCCAAAGGTTCCCCGTCAAGTAAGTGAATTGTCAGGCGTCATGAAAGTGTCATTGTGGTCACACCAGTGCAGTGTACGGAACAAAGTTTGCAGCCATAGGTGTTGCATTTGAATTGATACACTACATGGACACATTTTAGTTTGTCGGGTTTGTCGGGGCTGCTTCTCACAAGAAAGTTAGAAATTGTCTCATAGCGATAACAAAGGACAATTTCTATTTTCTGGCCGTTCTTGCCTTTCGCATGCCAAAAGATGATTTCCCGTAAAGGTTTTTGTCTTATTTGTGGGCAGATGTCATCTGATTTTGACGATGCAGTTTGACGGTTGGCTGGTTGCCTTGTCTTGTTTGCTGTCAAAGCATCTTGTCACATGTCGTATTTCGTTTTTTACATCAGAATTTGAAAAACCACTGTTCACCAAAATCTGTTTGATTCTTACCAACTCCGAATGCAGTCCTGCTCAATCAGAGCAATGCTTAGATACGCGTCTAAAGAATGACCTTATGACGCTGATTTTGTGGCGTCGAATATGCTCACTGTCAGCATTTATGCACCGTCCGTTGTCAATCTGCTTTACGCGTACAGTCGTTGTAGACCGTTGCCCTTGTCCATCAGCGGTCACACCCGGGAAGGGTATTATGTTTTGCACACTTAGTTTTTTTGTGAATTTTAAACCAGACTGTTCTTCGAAGGTGTTTTTGAGACGTTCTAGTTGATCAATGTCCTTAACAACCACAAAGATATCGACTACATAGCGGCGGTAAATGTTCGGTCTCATGTCGTCATCTTGTGCGCCGGCTTTTACATGTCCCATAAACAAATTCGCAAATAAAGATAGTTCATTAGCCTCACAAGGTCATTCATTAGACGTAAATTTAAGCACTGCTATGATTGGACAGGACTGCATTCGACATTGGTAAGAAGCAGACATATCTCGGTGAACAACCATTTTCTTTCAAATTCTGGCGTTGAAAACGAAATACAACGTTATGTGACAAGACACTTTGACAGTAACCCAAGACAAGACAACCAACCAACCGCCAAACTGTATTATCAAAATTAAATGATATTCGCTCACGCAGAAGACGAAAAAGCTCTACGGGGAATCATCTTTCGACATGCAAAAGGCAAGAACGCCCCCAGAATAGATATTGTCCTGTGTCATCGCAATGAGAAAATCTCTAACTTTCTTATGAGAAGCAGCCCGGACAAACCCGAGAAACTAAAACGCATCAACGTAGCACATCAATTCAAATGCAACATAGAAGGCTGCAAACTTTGTTCCGTACACTACACTGGTGTGACCACGATGGCGCTCTCACGACGCCTGACAATTCACTGACGTGACGGGGTACCTCTGCACCACGTGCAACACGAACACGACAGGACATTGACACGACAACAACTGACAGACAACACTGACATTTTACGGACGCGCAATAACAGAAGACGCCGTAAAATTTGGGGAACCATGTTCATTAAAGAACTCCCTACAGCCCTAAACAGACAAACCAATTCTTGTATAACCCTTGAACTATGAGGTGGTGGGCGGTGAGCACTACTGATGTGATTGTGGCAATATGTTTATGTCTTTGTAGTGTTCCCATTACGAGTATATTTTGCATGCATCAAAGTAAAAATGGGATTCTGTCCTACTTCAATTAGCCACGCTTCATTTGTGTTCTCCGTACTAAAAGATGTGTTCCGACAGTAGTGCGCAATTTTCATCCTTTAAAACTCAAAACTTATTTCTATAACAAGACAGTAGTGTTAGCCTTATTCCTCGGAGAAAAAAACCAGGAGAATGGAGATAAAGTTGGGTTCCTCGCTTATGCACTGAACAACTTACGCAATTCAAAACTTATTTCTTGTGCCGTTCAGTCTTCTCCGACGTCGAGATAAGATCTCGAAGCATAACAATGTAATGAGCGACGAAGACATGAGCGATTTGTGTGAATTATACTTAATCTAAACGACAATGCTGAGTCAAAAGCCCGGAAACTAGAGCGATGCATAAAAAGGCTCGTCAATGCTGAGTCAGCAGTCTTTTGTAATCGAACATGCGTAAAAGAAAGGGTCCTGCCAAAATATCTCAACATGTATATATATATATATATGTATATGTATATATATATATATATATATATATATATATATATATATATATGTATATATATATATATGTATATATATATATATATATGTACATATATATGTTTATATATATATATATAGACAAGCATGTATATATATATATATATATATATATATATATATATACACGCTTGGCTCTTTGGAAACGACAGCGGCATCGTGGTTTGTGATCCTCCGAGACGTACTTTCAATCTTGCGTATTAAGTGCTTGCTTTCTGGCTGTGCTTGTTAAGAACTGAATCAAAACTCAAAATGAGATAAGTCCAAGTAAACAACGTTTCTGTCGCCTTTCTTAAATTTATTCGACGTTTCATCAGGCCTCTGATATTCTCAAGATATAAGACATTAGCTTTAAGTCACAATCACCACACACAACAATGCCAGGTGTCGCCCACCATGGCTTGTTTAATTGATGAATTAACTGACTAGTCTTATCAACGCACGGTAGCTTGGAGGCAAATTACAAAGCGCCATCGAACTTCTTTTCATTGTTTGCTTTTCCCGAACACGCGTTACGTGCTACGCATCATCAGGGAATACTTCAAAGCAAAAACTCATGGAAGGAGCCATTTTTACCGCTAAATCGCCTCCCACGAACATTCTTTTTCTCAGTTACGCTATATTGACATACCATGTCATATCCCTGGGCCCTTCATAACAGGCTTGGGTTTCTCGCGCAAGATTGACAGCACATCATGGAAGATCACAAAGAAGGAAGCCACTGTTATTTTCAACGATCAATGTCTATTACACAGGCGGCTTCTGACATACACGAACTCCCAGTCATGACTGGTGCCCCAACTTCCCGACCAGCGAGCGCAGGTGTTGGCCGGCTGGGAGGTTGGGGCGAAGGTCCAGGCAGACCTGGATATTTACACCGCACCATTGCGGCATAGGAAACTACACCTCTTACCTCACTACACTCGTCTGGCCTCGATATCGTACAAAAGCGAGGGACACAGCTCGAGTTAGTCTTAACGTGAGCTAAACGGCGATTTTTGCAGTTGCAGCGGTCTGCTCGGCCCCGGCCAGTGGCTCTTTTGACCGGGTTTTAACACAGTTGCAGTTATTTGAAAGCTGTGTCATATTGTTTGCAAAACACTTACACGCAGGCTTCCTGATCAAAGGCACATTTCAACACGTAAACGTTTTGATATTGCCATTACATCTCCACTCGATAAACATGGGAAAACGCACAATTTTCAAATCGCGAACATGCTGAAGAACAATTGACAAGCACGGGTCCAAATCTCAACGGCCAAGTGTGGACTAACTTTAACAGATAACACAAATAAGCAAATGGTCCGGCAAAAGTGCTTGTTAATGTATTCACACCCTCACACACAATCGCTCAAAACCATTGTTCCATGCATTCATGGGCGTTTTTAATGATAAAGCTAGGTAACTAGAGCAGATAAAACATTAAACAAGCAGTGCGGTGTGGGTGCATATGCCTTCTCTCAAATCATTGGGCGATCTTAACGCTGTGCGACCCATAGGTATGCCAGCAGTAGACCGAGAAGCCCCAAACGTTTTTCCCGAAACCAGCAGCACTATGGCCTGGACCAAGATGGGCCGGGTCGTGACATCTGCGTGCTCTCTTTGGTGCGTAGCTCTCTTTTGTAAGCAATTTCCACACGAATTGTTGCCGTTTATTTCCAAATACAGCAGCCAAGGTCGCCTGGAATGTAAGCTATTCCAAATTTAAATCGCTGACCCATTAAAACGGTCCGTCCTCGGCAGGCTCGAAGTCAGGCGATATTCCAGCGATGGACGTCTGGTGTGCGGATGCTGCACATCAGTGCACTTACGGCTCCCAACCGAATAAAAGTCGGATATTGCAATGCATTGATGGCCGCTGTGTTTGATTTTCCGTGGTGCCCGCGCTTCTTGCCAGGATGCTACGCAGGCGACCTCATATAGCCTAAGCCTCTGAGTGCGTCGTAAAGTCCCAGCACACGACGCCCTATTCCCATTGGCACCGGATGACGACGAGTTCCGTTCGCTTATGCCGATTAAAAAAAATCCACATGGCGTTTTTACTGTTTTCGCTTGCCTCGTACCACACTTCAAAAGATGTCATTCCACTGAACGTAACCCCCCCCTCATCCAAACATGATATTTTACTTATCCGCCGGAATGGGGTGGCATCCTCTAGTTTAATGGCAAGGTGTTCCACAGTCAGGAGCTGAACTTACAGGCCGAACCTGCTCTGAAGGTACATCAGGCACTGAAGACTACGCTGTCCACCTCCGCTTCCAGGGTGTTTTTGCTTTCCAGCAGCTTCATGATCTGATTCACATAAATATTGGGGTCGTAATAAACACTGAAGAGAACAAGAGACGTTATCACGGAGAGAATGCTGGACAAGCCTAGGGAAAACACACGGGAGAACGAAGAACGCTAGCTCACGTTCGGGTGACCGAGCTCCCGTGGCAAGTCTCGCCCAATGAATTTGATTTTCCACAGTTGTGTTCACGTGATTGGGTGGGACCCCTGCCATGCCTGCCGCACTGCATTCTTCACCGATGGAAATCGTCACAGAGAGATGCAAAGCCTCATCCACGCCAGGTTGTTTAGGATAAAGAGCCCCTTAACATGGATGTTGCTTAGGCACGATTTGCTTAAAACTGCGCTTTGCCTCCAGCCTGCTCAATCATTTGCGACAAACTGCGCGGCTTCATCATCAGTGATCAAGAAGGGCACTACGATACGAGTGACATTTCTTATCTCCTTAACTTCCCCGCCTTTTTACAGTCCGCATGTCATGCATGTTATTTGTCACGCCCCAATCAACTCGAGCCACACCGCTGCCCATTCCAACGCCCGCCCGCGCGCGACCGTTTCCGTTATCGCGGTACGTGACGTGAAGTGTTACGACACTATCCATGACGAATGCAGCTGCACACAGCGGCGAATGCCCCGCGATTATAGTGACTACCATGGTCGTCACCAGCGATGACGCATGACGCCAGCGTCGGCTATCAGCTGCGCCCAGCGCCTGCCGGGTGTAAACAATGCCCAGGCCGCGTGCCGCCAGGGCGCGGATGGACAATGGTCCCCGTCGACACGGCGTCTAGACGCTGCTAATTGTCGCACCAGCGCCATTGTGTGCCGCGCGGGGTTTCACCGGCGACTGCTGTGACCCGGTGTACCACCCCCCCCCCTCCGGCGCAGCGTCGGGCAGCTGGGCCGGTCAGACGCGGGGCGCGAGGTCAGGTCGTGTCTGGCGCATCTGCCGCCGACGCCGACGGTGTGCGGGTGTGTTGAGATGGTGATATCCCCAGCAGCCTACTGGCCTTTCACAGTCGACTGCCATGCGTCCTCACTCCTGAAGGTTTGGTTTTGAGGACCTCCGTGTCGAAGTGATGATGTGCCAGTCACATGCTTTGTGGCGATGCCGTATATTCCGACCATGATCTATTCTGCCAACAAAAAGTCAATGATTCAACACAAACCATTTGCGCAAACGGCTCACTAAGCACTGACGAAAGATGCCAGCCGGCGTGAACGCTGGACAGATTATGTAACAAGCAATACGCAATAGTCGCACAGTTTCATTTTGTAATCACTATGTCCACAAAACTTGATCATGTGAGCACAGGTTCGCACAAAGTAACAGACACCAGCAAAGTAACACAACGGCAGAAAACGTAAACAAACCGCACTGGTCAAACAGATCATAAGCAAGCAACTGCCGTAACTGCCAAAGCACTTCAGTCGTCTCCTTATGATAAGCCGTTCGGAAATATGCACGACGCAAGACATTGCATTTCACGCCTAAGGCAATACACGCACAGTCGAAGTAATAATTGAGTATTCACAGTACAAGTACAACTAAATGTCAAGCAGAAATCGTAAAAAAAGATCACCACGCACTTTCACAGCTACGCACACGGCTGGTGACAATGTTCGTGTACGCCCGCCAAAGGAGGTTACGGTGGGGTCTTATTTAATTGACTTAGCCTGTCTCAGTGATGAACAAGATTAGTGCGAATCTCTGAAACGCTGTACATATGCACAATAAATAGATCCCACATGAGCGGAACACGCGCGGCATGTATGTACACATATCGCACCAAGCATGAGAGAAACGGCGATCCTGACTGATGCCTTGTATACACATTTTACTCTGATCTACGTTACTGCGGCGAGTAGGCTTGGATAAACGCTGCGACATTGCATCTGCAGATTTTTGTTGGTAGACGAATATGCCGCTTAGAAACTGTGTTGATATTCCGCTTTAAAAACGAACTCTCCAGCTCTTGCACGGCACAGAAGCTATTCCAAAACGTGGCAGTCCTAGAAAAACTAACCTGTTGCGTTTCAGGACATATTCATGATTCACGGCTGGCAACAGGCTCCGCTCTGCCCCAAAGCACGCGCCATTTTTCTGTCGGGACCCCCGCCACGGCGTGCTGCCAGCCAGCTGCCAAAGCGGACATTACGCGCCACGATCGCCGAACGGTCGGGCTCACCCGCGTTATCAATCAACAGTTCCGTGTTAAAAGAGGGCGCTGGGAACGTCTCAGGCAACGCGAGCTCCTCCGGCGCTGGTCCCGCCCAGCGTTGATTTCGCCCAGCGCTGGTCCCGCCTTGTCGGAGCAAAGCTGGGTGCCGCCACAGCGAGGGGGCTACCGCCGCCGGCTGCTGTCGAAGACAGTGTAGCAAAAGGAGAGAGGAGGACGAGGTGGGGGACGGGTCAGTGTTCCGAGCAGCGGTAGCGCAGGCTGCACACGCCGCCGCTTTGGCCGTGGTACACCGCCTTCTGCATGCCGTCCAGCACCTCCTCGTACTTGCTGTCCACTGGTAGGATCCTGCGAGAAGAACGGCGAGCGTCAGTTAGATTGATGAGTGGAAGATTTTCGTGTATCATTCATGTGTGCATGCAAGATGCATGCATAGATGAGACATATATGCTTGATGTGTAATGCATGACCGCAAATATGGGACATGTGTAATCAGTTCTTTACAAGCTGTCAATGCACATGCTAATGTTGACCAGAGTTGTTTGATGCACGCAGCAGGAACATAAGTACGTGGCCGTGTAATGCATTAAACCCCTGGAAAACGTCCTGATTGAAAGACCTTTGTAACTGTCGATAACTGAGGAAGTCGGAGATATGCTTCCGATATCCCCAAGGGATACTGTGGTGCCATCTGTTGCTGAACTCAAGCAACATGTGATGTTATGGCAAAATGGCAGAAAGTAAATAGCTAGAGATAATTTACATTACAGGACGACACAAAACACGGCGAATCGTTGTTGCAGAGCACATGGCAGACAATAGGTGTAATAGCACGACCCGTAGATGCATGACTATCACGTCCATACGAAACACTAAAAGCAGCAACAGCGATCTATCGTGCGTGAAAGATTGTCCGACCACGAGTTGCCATCCGACGGGGTAGAAGATAATATACTGATCATAGTTAATTGCATTGCTGCACTCCACGTTTCTGAACAAACGGCTTTTGCAACATTGCAAGGTTTTGTAACGCCACAAAGGTGCTTGCTAAACATCGCAACATGCAGCCACCATGATTCTGGTAAAGGTAGCTCTTCAGAAATGCCGAAAGCAAGCATGACGTTATACAAGTACAGATAAAACTTGTATATTTCACATCATTTGGTCTGTCGATGTAATGGGACAGCTGAAGCGTCTGTGGAAGCCCTGTCTTCCTGAGTCCTTACTTTAAGCTGTTTTGGTGCGGAGGCCTAGTTCTGCGCAGTGAGTTGGGGCTGCGCTGTGCAAAATGACGAAAGCTATCATCCCCCAGTGCACCAACACACGGGTTCGTCCATAAATTTAGCCCACTTTTTCAAAACCGGAAGCATGCAGGCCCATAAGCTGAATGGGAAATTACACTCCTGCTCTGACATCTTTAACAGAGGTCGAACACCGGACGACCAGGAGACAACAGCAATTCGATAATTTGTTTAAATTTCTCGGACACCAGTATCACGTTCCACTCATTGTCTTTTTAGCCTGCTTAGAGATCAATTCTGGCAAAAGACAGGTTGCCAAGAACTTGCAGCTTGTATGGCAAAAACACCCATATATCGGGAAGATTATGTTTTGAACCTGGAGAACATGATCTCCCTTTGGTTCAACCTCAGTTAGCCTCTTTGGCTATATTTTGAGCCTCATCGCAAAATTTCGCGACGGCCCCGCCTGAAACCGCGCCCAAGCTATGCAGAAAACAGTGTAGGACTTAATGGGGCTATGGCTTTAGAAAAACACTGTCCTTAACTCAAAACGTAAATGGTCGCGTAATACTGCTTGCATGTATTCCGTATTTTTATAATTCACGAAGAACCTCTTCTTTACCTGTTAAGATTATACAAATTTTTTTATTTGGCACGCATGGTATGGGGAGCAAATGCGCGCTAGCGGTACTATTATTCTGACAGCGCTGCCTTCCGCAGCTTTATGCCAGAAGAGAGAACGCAAAGTGTCAGCTTCCCATTGTTCGGCATTTGTTAGATTTAAAAAGCAGCATTTTGTATCCATTTTCTGTTCGCACTAGGATGGGTGAACCGTAAAAAGGACGCCTTTTTGCCCTGCTCCATTAATGCGCTCATGTTCTTGCCAGTTTACAGTCGTCTACTATTATCCTGACTGCCTTACGCCAATCGCTGTCCAACAATTCACCCCGTCCAGTCGCCACCCCTCCCACATCGGCGACCCGAGAGCGCCCTCTCCTGGCAGTCCACGTCCGGAGATTCGCCCTTCCCCTGCCCCTCCCACCTGGCCAGTTCCTGTTCCGACCGGCCTTCCGCCGTCACGGCCGCCGCCCACGGCCACAAGAAGCGCCGCCGCCGCCAGTGAAAGTGGCCCCGCGGCGCCTCCACTGACCTATCGCGCCATCTGCCGCCCGCGGCTGTTAGAGCGTGCATCCAGCCATCGCCCGCCGGGCACAATGGCGCGTCGCCGGCGGCACTTTTACTTTCGGCGCTGTCGGTGTCGACGCCGGTCACGGGTCGTGACCCCGACGGCACGCCACCGCCCCGGGGCACGCGGCGGAACGCGCCCGAGCAAATGCCCGCGGGCTAGAAGAGGGGTAGCGGAGAGGGGCGGGGATGCAGTTGGAGTCGCTTGTGATGCGATGGCGACAGTGGCGCAGTCCCGTGGGGCAATGTTGTGCCGCCGACGGGCTCGAAATAGTGCACGCGTGAGGCGGGCGCGGTTTGGTGAGCGCGCGCTATGGTTTCGCCATAATTGGAAAAGCGTGTAGCCAGCACACCTGTGGACACCATGCTCTGCTTTGCCACATAGCTGATGTCGAAAGAGCTCTATTTGTACATGCAGAAGAGGTATGACCCATATATGCCAGGGCTATTTTCCGGTGAGTGGACTCAATGAGACACTTATCGTGACTTTAAAGCCACCGGAAATCCATCGACTTATACGGACTAGCGGGCTGCATGTTGTATTCTTGACCCCTGCACAGAAACGAAAGGACTTCAGCGCTTTTAGCCCAGACTGCAAAGCCTGTAACTAGGCGAAATGTATCAGAAAATGATGATTTTTGCGGTTTCATGGTTCACAAATGACATCAAGGCTGTCACGCCATTCATTTGCTTCCCTAGTGTCTGTCTGTACCCATTCTAGGGGCTGCCATGATACACGCAATTCACGGGTGGCATTATGATTGCCCTCACTCGTGAAATACCGACTCTTCTGATACAGGCCAGGGCTAATTGGCCTCAGGTTTACCTAGCAGTTGTCCCGGTCTGGACGCAGTAAGCATGCGTTAGCATGCGGAAAGGACATCGACTGAAAAAAAAACATCACGAGAATACCGTAAAGCATTCTGCAAGGCTAACTGACACGCTGTGACCTAGGCTTGAACTTCGTCTCACTTTCCACTTTACGGTGTCGGCAGTTTTTACAGTGGGTTCAAAGGAGGCAGTGCGGCTACATAAACGCATTACCGTCGAGCATGCGTTTCTTATGTAAAGACTTAACCTATGGCGCTAATACGTGCCGACAAAACCTTGCAGAGATCATCGCGAAGGCGCGGGATGCCACTGCCATCACATAGTCTCAAAATCCATGCTGTATTGTTGCATAATATTAAGCTATAAATATCATGTGACTGATGGCGTACCCATCATGTGTGTTCCCCAGGACGTCGGCCGTGTTTCGGTGGCACGGGGTCCTCCACCACGCTTGGCGTCGAGAACAGTCCACCACCAGCAGCGCCGTTTGGATGAACGGGGACGCGCACTGCTGCATAGGGACACGTATTCTCGGTCCGACCCTGAAGCCAGCTGATGACGCCACACTCCTTCACAGCAGGAAGGTGGCTCCGGCAATCAGCGGGGTTGACCGGTCCCAGTCCCCATCCCGGCCTCACCCGTCCACCATTTTCGCGCCGCTGAAGAGCATCTTGCCGGCGGTGATGTACTGCTTGGCGCGGTCGGGCTGCTCGCAGGCCACCCGGTCCAGACAGCCGTAGCCGGCGCCGTCCGAGCTCAGCAGGTACGTCAGCATCAGCAGCATGTCCTGCCGGTCCAGCCAGGGCTGCGACTCCGGCGAGTCAGCAGACCTGCGGGCAAGGTAGCGTACGACGCGTCCGGCACTGCTGGAGCAGCTCGCTCCATTTCAGGGCAGCGCAGAACAGGGGATCACGTGCGAAATAAGCACGAGAGCACCACTAGCATGGCTTCGTTTCAATGTTCTCGTGAGATCTCCTTCCACTATCTCCGAATATCGGGCAAACATTGCTTCACCAAGATCGATGACAGCGTCAAATGTTAGCGTCATTTTTAGACATTGTAAAATGCGTTTTGAAGTGTTGTGCTACAGTGTTTGCTTCAAATGCGCCGCATATCTTATCAGAAACGGTTAAAGGCGATGATAATAGTAACTTTATATTTGAGAAAAAACAATCATGCTGCCCAGTCCAGCCGCCAAATCTCTTCATGGCACCTGAATCAAATGCACACACAGGATAGTCCATCTGCACGTAGACAGGTTACCCTTTTACAACGCCGAACACAGTCGCTGGTGCTGGGATAAGGCTGGATGTGGAAACGATAAACTGGAAAGGCACTTCCTCCCATTCTATCCAAACGTTCGCCACCGATTGCGACGCTCTCACCTGCCAAATGTGTTCCCGAACAGGTTGAAGCCGCCCCCGAAGGCGAACATGCCGAAGACGATGACGATGGCCTTGATGACCACCAGGATGATGAGGTTGGTGAGGTTGAGAGTGAGCACCTCGGAGGCGGTGGTGGCGCGCGCCACCACATCCGTCACCAAGTTGACGACGCTGGCGGACTCGGAGAGTGAGGCGGCCCCGGCCGACGTGCCGGAGAGCAACGGCAGCAGCAGCAGCAGCATCAGCAGCGGCAGGGGAACGGCGACTCCTGGAAGCGAGATTGCCCGTTCAGCGCTGTCCGAAGTCGGGCAAAGACTCAACACGGACGGACTCCAAGCAAAGCATAGGCAGTGATTTGGTAGAATTAATTGTGGGGATTTCTCTGGTTCCGGGATGGATGACCAAAACCAATATCAAAGCGGATAGTGATGTATCAGTGCTGTTTTTATGGCTTGAGTACCTACAAAGGCTTAATGGTAACCTAAAATAAGTTTCTAACCTTGATTTTAAAGCATTGGGATAACCGCAGCAGATGCATATTTAAGGAAGTCCAGCATTGCAATAAACGAAACACAACTAAATAGGAAACCAGATCCATGGGAAACTATGCATTTACTTAATTGCCACCTAGTTTAGTTGAGGCTATTAACACAGTCGGTGGCGACACAGTATTAAGACACTCAGTTTACTGCCCGCCAGCTGCCTTGGTGCTGCCACCACAGCACCATGAAAGCTTGACCATAACAAACAATTTAATGCGCGTCAGCTGCCTTGGTGCCGCCACCACGGCACCATGAAAGCTTGAACGTAACAAACAATTTACTGCGCGCCAGCTGCCTTGGTGCTGCCACCACAGCACCATGAAAGCTTGACCTTAACAAACAATTTACTGCGCGGCAGCTGCAATTGCCGTTTGGTGCTGCCACCACGGCACCATGAAAGCTTGCTCGTAACAAGCAATTTACTGCGCGGCAGCTGCCGTGGTGCTGCCACCACGGCACCATCAAAGCTTGACCGTAACAAACAATGCGCTTTTCCAAAAAGAAGAACCTTATGGCCTGTGGGTGGCTGGCGTGCCAGACATCAGTTAAAAAAAGCCTCAAGCAGTGCGTGAAGCAAAATGCTCCGGACATTTTGGAAGCACTGAAACTTACTACTTGATGCATAAATTAGCAACATTTGCGTAATCTAAACTTAATTTCAACCACTCCATTATAGCGTTCGATGTTAATGGAAAATTAATCTGCGAATCAGACATCTAGGGAAACGGCACTTAACTGCAGGCCTTACATAAGACTTACGGCAAAGTTTTAGACTAACACACGCTCGGGCAGGGGTCAAATTGACCTCACGAATGTTTTTCCAATATGGCTCCCGAACGGCGCGGCGTAGGCGCGCCAAATTTTGCTTAGCTATAGACAGTTGAATAGCAGATCGTCTGGCATCAAAACTTAGACCTAACTTGTAATGTCGCTGACCTATGGCAGGTGAAGGCCAGGCCATGGTTTCAGCGAAGGCAATTTCTAGGGAATCGTTTAATCTGATCCAACAACGGAGTGTTAGATGAAGCCATACATCTCTGAGATACTTTCCTAGGCAACACAACAATTGAGTGAACAAATTCAATTGACTTCTGTCTTTCGGCTTCAATCTGACTTCTTTTGCAAACGTCAAAAGCCCTGACGTTTCCAGTAGCGCTCTTGATCACGGATGAGCTCAGTGAATGCTCAGTATCTTTATTTAACAAATACTGTCTGATTTTGGAAGGTCGATTATTCGCATTGCAAGAACTTATTGCGCAAGGAAATATGTAACTCCTACAGCAATGTTTTCAGAAACACTGGCAGAATTTCAGGTATTGGGGTTAACAAATGAATTGGCATTATTAAACATAGCTGCTGCAGATGTGTTTTGGATGACTTCAAACGTTTGGTGGGGTGCCCGTGTAAGACAGGTAACGGGTTAGAATTGGCACAAGTTTTGATAGAGTAGCAGGGTTTGCCACGGGTATGGATAAGATATGTACGAAACGTGGGGCAGATTCTTCTAGAAACACTACACAATGCTCCTACTTCCACATGCTTTGGCCATTATTTGCCCCAGTCACATACAGTCAAACCACGGAAAGTTTAGATGTGAGCTTTTCCTGAACCCCTCAATGATTTGGAACTAAATAGCAAAATAATGGAAATTGCTTAATAGCTAATATGTACAGTTGTTTTGGAATTTGTAACAGTTGGGTTTGGCTACAGTGCCATTAGTAGCCGGTGGCTTCGGTAAGTTAGATATTATCCGCGAATGCCTCCAGGTTGGCTTCTCCGTGCGGTAACACGCGGTAGATATAGCATCGCATTTAAGCATATCATCTAGTGAAATGATCACGCTTGGAAGAGGAGTCCACTTAAATGATATCGTAGCACATAGATAGAGATCTCAAATGCAAATACGATCAGTGTCTGGGGTTCCAAGACGTGCTGATTCGTTCCTCTGTGTGCACCGCCGGGAGCAACAATGCACCCAAAACATATCTCATGCTGAATTGTTAAGTTGTTTTTAAAGCAGAGGCCCGGCTCCAAAACTATGTTTTGAACTATGCAAAGCCTCCACATTGCTACATGCCCGTCAACCGTGTCATAAAGGCACCAGCTCTGCGCACAGTGTGGCCACGTTCACAAAGTTACTGGTGGCTGGATGTGTCGTTTTCTCGCCAGGTTCAGCCTCAAGCGGAGGCCTTGCTCAATACGTGAAACCTGGCACGAACTGTCTGCTGACGAGATGCATATGCTTGCGTGCTCTTCCAAGCTCGAGTTCCGTGCCGTACAAATGACACATAGCACAGCGCCAACGAGAACGCACGACTTCCCACGAGGGCGTTCTCACGTGACATTCCGAACGCAATTTCCGTGACCTTTCCGCCAGCGACGACTGGTCGTAACCGCAACAGGCTGCGGTGAGCGCCGAGCCGGATTTATGACGGGGCTAGCCGGGCTGGCGTGAAGCAATCCGTCCGAACCGCACAAACCGCCGCCGGAGGAGATTATCAGCGAACTCTGCCAGCATCGAAGGCTCGGTTTGCGTCCGAATCAGGCGGTTCGAACTGCTCAGTATGCACGAGGCTCGTGGTGCGGGTACCGAGTCGCATGGTTTGGGTTCGCAATTCGCGCACGCACGCCTCGATCCGTTCATTATTTCACGGCACGAGCAGGTGAGTTGACGAGCGAGGGCCCCGCAGGTGGTGCTGGCGGTCGGGTTGACAGTCCCGAAACAGGACGGACCATATTTTTGCTCCTGAGATTCGGCGCATACCAAATGGGGGAGTGGAGGGGTAGGGCACTCCCCCACCTTCACTACGGGGTGGGTGATAACTGATGATAAACTCAGTAATCGTTCTTCTCTTTTTTCGCCACGATGTATATCAAACAAATGGAGCATATTTCTCCATATATACCACAGAATACAGATGATAAGAAATACAACGATTGCACAGTCTGCATACTCGGTTTGATGAATGGAGAGGGATTTAGCAACTTGCGTCGCGTCGGGATGTCGATGCTCGGGGCTAAAGGCATCTGATAAATACAGCATTAGCCCAATGGCACTGCACGAGCATTGGGCATTACGCAGCCTTTTTTGCCCCATCAATATGACAGATCGCTTGACTCAGACCATGGAGGAAAACGAAACCGTACTCGAGAACGGATGCCAATCTTGGTGTACCGCTTACACTTGTCGCCCCCGTGGTCTAGGAGGAGATGCTGGACTCGTAATCCAGCGGCACTGGGTGCGAGTCCCAGAGTGGGCGCATTGTTTGACCTGCCTGGCGTGAAAAGGTCAGCTGGCAACTGGCCAACAAGTGTCAACCCAGGCCCGGGACGCAGCGTTACGTGCCGCAGCATTGTGCGGCACGGAAAAACCTCCGCAGTCCTGTCTGGCAAAAGGGCGGAGGCAAAACTATCCGTTGAACTGGACCGCACGACTTGGGTGGTGGGTTCGGGGTACACGCAGCAAGCTATGCTTGGCGTGTACTCTGAACCCGAAGTCACCCATGCAAACCATTCGGAATAAAGTTATAAAAAAGGGTTGTACATATACGTGCTAATCAGGCTGCCTCTCAATATGACGCATGTGTCCGTGATATTTTTCTTCGCACATGGGGAGCGAGCAGTTCGTTATCGGCAGGATTCTGAGCTGCGCCGATGTAATGGAAAGCTGGATATCTAAGATACACCTGTCTCCGATCACCGCACAGCATCGAAAAATGCATCCGCGCCAACCTCAGTCGCTATCCCTTTCGACATGTCCGTAAGCATGAAGCAGTCCACAACAGGGAACAAAGTCGTGAGCAGAAATCCTCCCATCTTCTGCTAGGCATTTCCCTAAAACTCCGTGCGACCACCACATCTCAAGGAAACTTTTCTCGGCGTCCGAATGGATAGAATGGAATGAATACAACGCATGAAAGGGATTCGGTTGGTTGTTTGGATTAGAGCCCTTTCGACCAGAAATGATCATTTCAGGGCTGAGGGATGACAAAACAGGTTAACGGTGGGGCAAACTTGCACGCACCTGGGGGGCCAACCGTCGAACTTTAACCCGCGCACGTGCGCTGGGTACCTGGTCAGGATCCCCCTCCCCACGGGGCTCGCGGCCCACTCGTGGCTGACGCATGCAGCCTGCCCCGGACAAGCGGGGCGTCGCGAGGATGCAGGATGAAGCAACGTTAGGGATAAGAGGTTCGGATCGAATGGATTCGAATGAAAACCCGACTTGACTGGACATCTGAACAGCCCAGTCCCCGGTGTACAACATCAGCATGGCAAACTTACGAGCCATTGGAGCTTCCTGCGGGACTTGACCGGTCACGTTATCACCAGACCCCGTCACGCAGCTGTCACGAGCTCACTCGCTCCGAATACTCCTGTTTGACGAATGTGACCTGGGTCCAGCCGGCGGGCGCTTTATCCCACGCCGGTGCTGCCGCCCTGGTGGCAAGGGAGTGAACTGTACGCTTCCCCGACGCGCGGCGCTCTAGCACTTCAGACTAGCGACAACAGACTGCGTCAAAGCCTATTAGGAAGAGCAGTTCAGAGGGTTCTACTAGATTTATCCAGCTCAACTTGAACGTGCTGTTTTTGGAAACGGCGCTGGCATCACTGTTCCGGCCTTGTTCACAGGCCTTTTCATTTCCGGGCATTTTGCTCAAATCCAAAGTGTGTGTTATAATGATACGAAATATAGCAAAGATTGTAGCGAGAAGTGAATGGTTTCACATGTTGACTGCATGAATATTAAGACCTAATACTAAAAAACAATCAGAAAGCGAAAAAATGTCATTCGTAAGTTGATTCAAAGTGAAAACGTGCCATCTGTAGTCATCCTAATAAATTCGTGGTTGTTTCTGCCCATTCAGGGCCTCGGCTAACAGGTTGAATGAGAGAGGGGATACATCTCTCCTACAGTCGCAGAATTCCTTCTCAGTTAACGCAGTTCATCTCAGTGAAGATTAAAAACAGCAAGCGAAAACGAAAATATGCCGCATGAGTGGAGAAACAGTGATGTTCGGATGTTCCCATAGCCCAACCACATGCGCTTGACGAGACGAGATCGTTCCTGCCCCCCTTTGTCAGTTTTGTTGTCACAAATGTGGCAGTGGTCACAAACAGCGTTATTTCGATGGGGTTTTTAATAACACGTAATCCACCCGCGCGAGTTCACCGTCTGAGCCAGGGTGGCAGTCCGCTGGTGGCCGGTGACCGAGGGCCGCGGGCCAGGTGAAGGGAATGCGAATGCAACGTTGAGCCAGTCGTGCGAGTGGTATTGTCAACTAATGGTCAACTGAGGATATGCGTCATCTCTTTGCGAACAACATAGCTACCCAACTCTTTTTCACCCTTTGTTTGACGCGTCATGTGCAGTTGTCTTTTTGTAGTAACCGTGCGCACAAGACAAGGATTGAAAATGGCCGCCTCTCACTTTGTTGGCTTGGCTGGCCACCTAACTGGATTCTGTTCCTTTTAGTGAACCATCAGAAGCCAGTCGTATACAAAAGAAATTGCATATTACGAGGAAAGTACGCATTGGTTCTGGACTGGTTCAGAAACGTGTAGGCGTGCCAGCATTGCATAGGGAAGGGGAGAACCCTGTCTTTGTAGGCAAATAATTTTGATGGCTTAATGCTAAGCACCAAAGACGCACCTAATGTGGGTTTGTAGAGCGGGTTGACGGGAATAGAAAGGGAGGGAAGTGTAGCCCCTCCTCCCACTTTTAAACGGCCATAACATGTGTGGCCGTTTGTGGCATTCATGACCTCAGCATTTCCATGAAGCAATCTTACATCAAGAGGGCTGTTGCTTCGGCTTTGAGAAACCTTGAACTTTGGACAGCGTTGAACTAATGCCAGTCTTCAAGCTGTTTGCCTCTGCTGGCTTTGTCTGTTAAGTTTTCTTCCCGAACATTAAACCAACTGCAAGGAAAATTGTGAGGCAGCTTGGCATATTGAAACCCGTGACGTAACAACTGCCTGTACGACTGCAGCTTTCCAGTGCCAATAAGGTGGTGTTATGGGCGTCTAATGCCACACAAATTTGTAGGCAGAAAAGTGTTGCTAAGTTAAGATCCCTTACCACGCAATCAAAGCAGATTTGCAACCCCTCCAAAGATTGTACATGGGGCCTATCAATCGACAGAGTGTCGATCACGGTCAATTTTGTATTGTACAGCTACACAGAACACGGCGAATACATCTCGTGATGTGATGCTGAACGGCTGCGGGTAAAATTGAAAAGCAGAATAGATCGCATTGAATTTGATACATAATCTTGCGCTGACTTTCTGACCGGTTTTTGGGGTTAAAGCTGAGAAAAATCAGCCGAGTTATTCGTTTACGCAGGGTTCTGTTTTTCAGACTGCCTCCCCATTCACAACCAATTTGTCGTGGTACGAAGCCCATCATACTGCAAACAAAGACAATGTCAAGACTACAAAACAAGGCACCCAACATGTAGATGCAGTTACACAAGAATGCACGTAACCACGAGCTTACGCTTCAGCTGCACTTCGGTAATCATCGTGGGCTTCGTAATGGAGGGGGGGGGGGGGGCGCCACCGTTCGCCACATACGCCTCATGGATAAGACTGACAGCACAGATTCGGCCGAGCAGCGTCTTTTTCACGCGTATGTAGACATTGCCGCAAGTATTCGAGTTTCTCTGAAAGAGTCATCACAGATATGCCACGTGGTCAAGTTCAAAGAATTGCTTTTGATGAAGAGCACTGATTTGCCTGCTTTGAATCTCACATGCAGTTGTTCAAGTAAGTACCCACGTAATTACTGTAATTTTGAACAGCTTCACTTATGCTTTCGCCATTCCACACATGCTCGGACGTAGCGTTTCACAGAGATAGACATTACAAATTCAAAAAAGCTCCAAACAAGCATAGCTCATATAAAATGGCAACGAAGAAAACAATCGACATCGATATATTATCTACCACTGCATGAGAGCTCACCTGTTCAAATCGTCATTGCTGTCGAAGATGTTATTAAGTAGCACTTGTTCATAAAATGTGGGGTAAAAGAAAGCCAAAGGTATGCAAACAGTGGTTTGGATAAATGGTTTGAATAAGCAGCGTTTAACCGCTGTTTTGAAGCTTCTTGTTTTTTCACCCCGCAAATGCTGCGCGAAGACTGCTTGACATTATACCCAATTGCATTTCATATTGTGCTCATTACAGCAATTGATCAAACGCACCACTGCCGTCAACTTCAGGCACATGTATTCACATTTTGTGACGCGAAAAAGTGACATGCGAAACAAGGCTAAAATTGTATTGACATACGCTCCTGCATGCATCAATCTCATCGGCATCGTTCTCCCCGGGCACGGTATCCGGGGTAAGTCGCTCGTTATTAACCAGATGAGTTTATTCAACGCAGGTGGTGACAAGACAGAGAGGCTGCGATGAGCTTAACCGCCTGGAATGAGATCGCTGATATTCAGATGTGAGCTATTGTGGCGAATCCCTGTACACCGTGAAACTGAAAAGTACTAATTGGAATTTAACAAATGCTATATCACAGGATTGTTTACTCATGAATAGCAATCTTATTTATCACTCAGGAACCTTTTTCGACATTGATACCTTTTTTTGTGCATATCCTCAGCACATATCACAGGGTGGATGCCCGTAGAGGCAAATGTTTATGAAGTACTCACCTGTAGAATATATGCAAGTCCGCAATGCTTGAGTTTGAAGAAGATTCAGAATGCTAAAAACTTGTGTGTGAGACAAGTCCTATCACACGAACAGCTTGATTTCTCATATATGTATGCAGGCGCCTGAAAATTGATGTCGGAGGTCGCCACTCTTATTCTTCACGTGACTGATGGTGCCACAGGTCAAGTAAAATCATTCCAATGCCATAAAAAATTCGGGCCACTTCTAAATTGGTTTGGAATGGACGACATCCTAACGACGTGGTCAATCCAAAATTTGTGTTTACCTGACCAATCCCAAAATTCCGATTTCTGCTCAACTGAAGGCCATTAAGTCTTAATTCGGATAAAAAACGACAGCAACAGATGTAGCAAATTGGCCGCACTGTATGATTGGGCTTTAACGGGGTTATAACGGGGTTAGATCAGCGGTAAGTGGGGAGTCTTAGTTAGTCGTTGAGTGTGTGAGAAGATCTGCTCAAAGATCTGACCAAGTGCGTGGGGATTTTAAGCATCACTCAACTTGGTAAAAAGACCCTGGCAAAAACAATCCCGGACTTCAGGCATTAAAATCGCATTCAGGGGCTTGTAATAATGTTCAGGGCCTAATAATCTGCATTCACGCAATAATGATGGCATGGGCTTGAACCAAACAAAAGAAAGCACCATTACAAGTCAAAAAATCAAGATAATTTCAGGTCAAGTGAAAGGTCAGATCAGTTCAGTATGCACATCGAGGTCAGGTCACCCCATTTAACCCACTTTATATGTTGCCTCAGCTCACATGAGCTGACTACCCACTGCGGCTGACCCGGCTGGGAAGCATTCACATCAGTCCGTGAATTGCATCAAAGCTGACAAAAACGAGAACAGAAACTGCGGTTCACTGCACGTGGGACGAAAACATCGTGCAAGCCTTTATCAATGACGTCAGAACGCAGTGGTCCGTCGCCGGAATGCGTCCAACTGATCATGCCGATTACAGGACATTCAGCGGACACACTGCTGTGGATATCATGGGGTTCAGGGAACTCAGAACGCGTTACACACAACGCTACCAGGTGATCGAGGACTAAAGGGATTAAAATCACCATAAGGAATGGTGTTTAGTTAATCTATGCCAGCCTAAAAAGGCAGGATGCCATTAGTTATTGTTAACCATTATTTCGTATATATAAAATGAACGAATATTGGTCAAAATAAATGCAACTGCACGCCTATGTACCCTTCATAGCTCAATCCCCCAGGCTCCGGCCACAGTGCCATGTATCAGAGACGAGTTTGGGAACAGGTGGCACTGGCCGCTTTCCGGTCTATCATTGTCACTTATGGGTCTGGCCGCTTTTAGGCCTGTTAGTGACCTGCAGCCGGTGCACTCGCTTACAACGTGCGATTGGTTTCACGTCTTCATGCGTCTGGCTGCGCAGATCTGGCAGCAGTCCTGAAAAATGGATCCATTGTTGACGCATGAGAGAGCGTGGCAGCCTGTCCACTCCGACACGCCCTGTTCCAATCCTATTGTGTTTTTCTCTTCCGTCATAATTTGTTAGTCATGCTGGCTGCACTGACAGGACGCCGATGTGTGCACACGGTTGCGATGCGTGTCCATCAACCTTTTCAGAATTTGAAATTTCGCGTTTTTCATTTCAATCGAATTGCGTTGAGTTGTCATCATGCCACATGTTGCGGCGAGAGCCCACCTATTTG